AAACTCTCTTTTTGGTAACCACTCTAGATAAGAAATTCTCTCTTATAATCAACCATGAATTACTAATAATCTATCTTAATTGAGGAAAAGTTAATATTTTTGGTAAAATCATTATGAGATCTTAATGGGTTCTAATTCTAAACTTATTCTTTTTTAGTATTTTATGCCTTTTTATGTTATTTAAATATGATTGTCCGATTAATTGATTAGAGTATATGCTAGTTACTTGATCATCATAATTTATTGCTAGCTAAGTATTCAAGTTGAGAAAATCGTATATCCATGTGGAGCTATCATGTATGTTGTAACCATACCTTTTGCTATAAATAGAGAAGTTATGGTTTCACTTTATTCATTCTCTCATTCTTTGAAAAAAAAAAAACTCTCTTTTTGGTAGCCACCTAAAATAGGAAATTCTCTCTTGTAATTAGCCATGAATTATTAAGAATCTATCTTAGTTGAGGGAAAGTTAATGCTTATGGTAAAATCATTATGAGATTTTAATAGGTTCTAATTCTAAACTTGTTTCTTTTTAGTATTTTATGCTTTTCTATGTTATTTACATATCATTTTATGATTAATTGATTAAAGTGCACACTAGTTACTTGATCATTATAATTTATTGCTAGCTAAGTATTCAAGTCAAGCAAATCGTATGTCAATGTTGAGCTATCATGTGTGTGTTATAACCCTACCTTTTGTTATAAATAGAGAAGTTAAGGTTTCACTTTATTCATTCTCTCATTCTATGGAAAAAAAACGCTCTTTTTGGTAGCCACCCTACATAGGACATTCTCTCTTGTAATCAACCATGAATTACTAAAAATCTATCTTAGTTGAGAGAAAGTTAATGCTTTTGGTAAAATCATTATGAGATCTTAATAGGTTCCAATTCTAAACTTATTCTTTTTTAGTATTTTATACTTTTCTCGTGTTATTTAAATATGATTATGTGATTAATTGATTAGAGTACATGCTAATTACTTGATCATCATAATCCATTGCTAGTTAAGTATGTAAATCCGTGTAATTATTTGTCTAAACTTGCATGTGGTAGTAACTAGAGACTAATGATTATAAATACATTTTCATTTAATTCTTTATAAAATATAAAACTAGATTACATTTTTCTAGCATCTAAAAGGTGATTTAGCTTCACTTATCTTTCTTTAATTTAATGTCGTTATTGAATTAAATCTAGCTAGCGTTTACTAGGTTATTCAATAGTTAGAGATTAATCGAATAAGATTTATTTGGTTAATTAATTAGTAAGGAAAGACCGAGGATAACATACATATTGTTTTCTTACGGTGAATATTCATAGTAAGAATAGGTTAATGTTTGAATCAATGATCAATGACTAAACCAAAAGTGAATACCAAACTTCGACCAAGGTTTTCTTTATTATTGTTATTTCTATTTACTTTTGATTGTTTTACAAATCTCCACAAACACAAATCCCTTTTTTATTTTCATTGCACTTCGAATAATCGACCAATAGAAACTATTTATTAGACCATTTTTCCTATGGGTTCAAATCTTAACCCTATGTAAACTCTCGTGGTTGGATTTTGTAAGGAATATAAATACAATCTAATTTTTTGACAATACTACATGCCATTACCAACTATCTTACCAAGGCTATATATCGTCAACGATTTCAGCATCTCTACTCAACTTGAGAAAGGGTAATAGGATTGTCATAAGATAAGGATAAAACTCTCTCTCTCTCTCTCTCTCTCTCTCTCTCTCTCTCTCTCTCTCTCTCTCTCTCTCTCTCTCTCTCTCTCTCTCTCTCTCTATATATATATATATATATATATATAAGAATTCAGAAGACAGTAAACGTTATCAAATTTACTATAATCAACAAGATTTGTTTAATTTGTATTTTTGGTTTTAATATAGGAAAAACACGAAAATGTAATCTTCGAATCAGAAATGTGCTACGTAGTAATCAATTGATAGTGGGTTGCACCTTTCACTGGAGAGTAAAATAAAAATAATAAAGGGACTAAAAAGTGTTCAACTTATAGAAATAGTACATTATTTTATATATATATATATATATATATATATATATATTTGATACTGAACATATTGTTTAACGAGTAGCAGAATGTCAACAGCAACCGGAAGGGGACCAAAATTAAGTAGTATGATTGAGAAGCAAAAGAATTTTGGCTCCGGGAACTGTGGAGGCTTGGGATCCGGGTGGCCAAGGATGCACGCTAATAATGCTGCCTCACATGGGTAATGTTTGCTTCACATGGTCAATGATGTTGTCTTACTTAGCCTGCAAACAACATTTTTAATTGTAAACCCTAATTATTCACTCACTCAAACTGCATCAATGCGCATGGTCTGCTTCTTTTGGGTTTTGCAAGCTGACAGTGTTTACTTTCTCTATTCTCATGCGAAATGAGAGACCATATTGAATGGCAAATATCCTCGGTTTCTTTTATCTCAGTTGACGCAATAAGAGTACAAAACCCTAACGAGAAAGGACAAGCTAGCCTACGCATGTCAAACTTAGTCAGAAAGAAGCACTCGCTTTCAATTCCTAGCCTCTTTTTTCCTTTCCCTTTCGTTAACCATATGCCTCTCTCCATACTAGTGGTAAGAGTTTATGCATGATGAGTCCATGAGAGCACGCCCACTCATTATGTCGCTTGGGAAATTTTCATTGCTTTAAAGGGATTTACTGCTTGACTTCAACTCAAGTAAGAGCTTGCTCTCCTAGTCAATAACAGCCAAACAAACATACTTTTCTTTCTTGTTAGTCCTGTTATGTATTATGGGAGACCAAGTAATTAATTTGTTCCCTTGTTCCTTTCCATCGGTATTTAAACCCCCAGGTAAGAATTTCAACATGTACTTCTCTCGGTCAAGTACGCACAAATATCCATGTTTTTTCTTTAATCATCAAAAAATCTAAGGCCCTCTCTTGCAGCGCATCCATGAAGCTGAAGTACTGGCCGGTTGACGATACAAGTTTGTTTGTCACAACTTGACGTCTCAAGAAGTTGGTATATATTTATCAGGAAGATTGTCAAATGCATATTCATGCATCTTCATGGACAGGTATGTTTAGCTGAGAATAAAGGCATGGATTGGGTGCCGATTCTTTTACAGGATCACCCTAGTAGATGTGTTGTGTATAGGGTACGGAAATTGGCCAAGCTTCTTACGCTAACAGTACTTTTTTGAAGCCTTGAAAACTAACAGCTTGGTAGTTGCATTTTCTTCGTTTGAGTACGAATTTTTATTGCTGCTTTTCTACGTCTTAGTACTGTTTCTTGAGTTTTTCTTCTTTTTGGTATTTGGGGAAGTACTCAACATACATTTTTTACTAAGTTGTGCCGGTTCTTTGTCTGAGCACGAACTTTTATTAGCCATTTTAGGGACAATGCCATGTTTTTGCTTTGCTTCACTTACTACTACAATAGCTAGCTCCTTCAGTAGAATATTAGGAGTTTTAGCTCAAATAAATAAGTTGTTATTTCTAGAGAGTTCAAAGTTCAAACCTAGCTGAAATAGAAAATGCTTTTAGCTAGGTGAACCAGCTTCCTTCAATATCCAGGGCCTGTGAGTTAGTTTAGCTTTAAGGAAAGATTGTTTTAGGAGAAAAACTTTCTGTATTGCATCTTAAACAACATCAGGATAAGCAGTGTCATCATAGAGTTTGAAAACAAAACTAACTATCCTGCTAAATAACTCATCTGCTAAGATACAGAAACTTCAATTTTGAATATTCAAGCCACATTCCTATATCCTCATAGCAACAAAATGGTCTGGTCACAACTTAATTGCATTAGCAAAAATATGCTTTTGCGCATGCAAGATCAAACAAATTCATTTCTAATTCCTTTGTCAAATACTTTGCGCTAATTTTCATGCAGTCCTCCTACTAACAGGGATGAAAATCTAAATGGCTCAGTACTACCTATGTATGTTTATTTTTTCTTATAGATAGAGCCCTGATGACTGTCTTTCTTGTATTGAAAGCAATGGTTCATCTAAACGCATTGCCTATATGATCAGTTTTAGATGGTAGGTTGATCAATTAGGCATTTTCGAAACGAGTACATTTAAATCATTGGCCATATATCTAATGGTAATTAGATGAGGAGAACAAAATCAAATTAAAAATAAAATAAAATAAAAAAAATAACATATCCTAGCAATTGTATTGGAAACTAACTCATGCTGTCATGCATGCTCATAGTAATCATTCTTTGAAAACATGTCGACATATACATCAATTTTCACACGATTTAATTTCAAAATAGTTTATTGAGGCTATGTAGGCGCTGTAGAGATCCAAGTTGATTTGCCATCCCGAAATTACAACTTTAATATGAAAGTGTATTCTTTTATTGGTACGGAGTATAGTAATAGCACCAATTCGCTAAGGGGCAGCCAATGGTGAAAACGGAGTACAAATTACCGCTGCAGAACTAGCAGCTGACAGTAAAACAGTATCAATCACAGATCACAACTTCACGAGGAATCTTTCCTTATGAGGTAACTATCATTCATGGCTGACTACATGTTTTCATACGGAAAAGATTGAAAAAAGAAACTACAATCTTCAAACAATTGCTGTTGAAACTGAAAGGGCAAATAAAACCTGGGACCTTAATGCTAAGATTGAACATACAGATATGATCTAAATAGAAAACGGTCATTACAATCATAATATATCCCTTCAAATGCAAATTGAAGGAAACATACATCCAACGCATTCAATAGCTGAGTGAGTTCCAACAAATCTCAACTATACAGCCACCTGAAGCTACTAGCTTATTTTTGCTTGGCATTTGTTCTCTAACTAGTAACCACTTCATCGGCATGGGCATAATACATAAATCCATGGCTAAAACAATACCATTTTAGTTTTATTATGTACACCAACTTGGATCATACTTTTTTTCATATAAAGTGTAGTTCCTATAATTAGTATGCATCTTCTAGTAATTAATCTTTATTATATGCTTTCATTTCCATAGATCAATTTGGCAACTTGACGTAGATGTTGAGGCATATTCCTGTGCAATTTCTGACCTTTTGGCTTCGTCGGCAAGTATGTTCATCTGCTCGGCTGCATGAAAGGTGGCTGTATTGAAGTTATTGGTTCCCTTGGAGGCATCCTCATTGCTTAGCTGAGAAGCAACAAATTTGTCAAGGACTCGCCAATCGGTCATTTGGTCTACGGCTTGCTCACTATTATTGTTATTGTAAAGTGAGTTCAAATTTTGCTGATGGCATTGCTGCATTTGCTCTTCTTGTGTAAGGGTAGATGACTGCAAGGTGCTCCCATTTGTCCTGTCATAGCCATATGCAATAACTGAATTACAACTCGCGGTTGCTGCTGATTGTGGAACTTTTGGGCTTTCTAATTGAGGAAGCTGAAGGAAAGGGTCATGAGGGATATTGTATTGCAACTGATCAAGCTCTTGTTTGCAAGGATAGTGATGAAGGTATGATGCATAAGGTTGAGAAATTCGCCTTGGAGAATCAATTTCTGGCATGAATGAGACCTGGTCATCATACCAACAAGGTGAGTCATAGTCACCAACTTTTCTCATTGTCGGCATTTTCTTCTTGAACACCCTACAGACAGCCCATCCTTCTTCCTGTTGTATTTACAACAATCTCATATTAGGCAATTTAACTTTAGTTTCACCTGTAACATGTGTGTATTTGTGTTCTTGCAAGAGTTGTTATTTATTTGTAAATGCAGCTAAAAAAAATTGTAGAAGAACAATACTAGCTGAAAATTGTAGCAGGATGAATTTACATTAAGTTCGATTTCGTTCTGACTTCTTCTTAGGTAGAATTGCTGGAATCAAATTATTCTACTCGGTCGATTGAAGCCCTAGAACAGAATCTGAAACAAAGTTATCTTAAGTTGTTCTGTATATGGTCTTTGAATCTAATCCGTGTACCAAAAGTCTCCCGATCACACACACCTTTTAAGAAGAAAAAGTTGAGAATTTTTGTTGATCAAAGAAATTGAATCCTTTTTAAGTACTACAGAATCTATCTCATATCTGCTGCAGTTTAAATCAATAGCACATAAAAATTAGAACCATCTTAATTAATTGGAAAAATATGCATAATTGAGGTCCGAAGTTATCATTCAATTTCCTTAGGCATGCCATTTGGCAATTAAATCACTAGTAAATAGAAATAACGAGGCCTCCATTGAGCTTTTTGTTAAAAAAATAATATAAATTATATATTATTATTTTATCTATTGATTTAAGTTTTTAAGTTGAAATAGCCTTTGATCATGGCATTGTAACCTTGTTAATCTAATAGTCAAGAGGTTTTTCACTTAAAAAAATATATTAGAAAATAATATAAATCATATTTTAAACATTACGTAATAGCTTAAGCTTTTTAATTGAGATAGTCCTTTTATACTTTTTTTGATATGCCTATCAATTTATTTCTAAGTCAATATTATGTTAAAAAATAAGGCTAAATTAATGCACGTTGGCAAATGAAGAATTCTGTTAAGCAGCAAAAATTAAAATTCTCGATAAAATAAAAATTACTTGCCTGAGGGGTTCCATTTTCATTTGTTTCTAGTCGATATTCATGCATGATCCAATCAGATTTTTGTCCATTTGGAGCTCGTCCTTTGTAAAATACTAGGGTTTTTCTCATGCCAATCAAGCTGTGTCTAGAGTAGATAGCCTTGTCTCTTCCAGTAGCTTTCCAAAACCCAGCTTTTGTCGCTCTATTAGTGCGAGTTCCAGTAGGATACTTCTTATCTTTATGGCTGAAGAAGTACCATTCATTTTGATCTTCAGTTCCTAGTTTGCATAATTCTATTCAAACAAACAAAAATTAAAAATTAAAAAAAAAAAAAACCATAAGCTGGAGATTATTTCATTTCCAAATGTCATTAGAAAACAATAGGTCGAAAATTAATTAGTATATATATTACCTTGAAGATCCCATGGTTCAATTTTATAGAGATCAACATCCTTAATGACATCAAGATCAATTCTTTTTGATGCAACTTTCTTTCTAAGGTAGTAATCAACAAGTTCTTCATCCGATGGATGGAATCTAAAGCCTGGGGGAACATGCGAAAAGGTATCCATCTCCTCCAAGAACTGAAAATTTAACCTGAATTAAAATGTAGCAATATTGAATGTGAGTCCTGATCACAACACACATAAAATATTGTGCTCCATTTTCAAAACCTGATTAGTACTAACTGTGAAGAACATTGTAAAGTTCATATATCAACCACTGGAGTATAAATGAAAGAATTAAGCACACAAGATTTGGTTAATTACCCTTTCCAAAGGAAAACAAACTAGATAGAATGCAATGATTGAACTTGTCTTATACGTACGGAGGTCTTAGGCAGGACTGTCTCCTACTGAATAAGATAGTAATAAAAGAAAAGATCCAAACAAGACTCCGTTTCCTAAGTTCAATATATAATCCCGCAGGTGGAATATGTTTTGCTGACCAGGAAAACACTGCAATAGGTAGTGAACAGATAAAAATTATTCTTGTAGCACCTAACTGGCCACAAAGAGAAAGGTCATATTCTTCCCATTCATAGCTGAGGAATTAATCACCATTATGATCTCTAAGGTAACAGAAAAAACAAGAAAAATAGTTTGTCAAGCTGAAGCTTTTCCTTAAAAAAAAAAAAGGCTTCGTTGTAAATAAGTCCTTAAATTCCATTTTGTTCATTATAAGTAATTAAGTCATCACTGGTTTAATTATGCAAATAAAGAAGACACAAACGCACACAAATATTTTTTTAGAACATGAAATGGACACTTCATTAAAAAACTTAAGAAGGCAAACCCTTCAATACAAGATCAGAGACATCATTGGGGACCTCTTCTATTCAAATCTTTTCAGGGGCAGTATAGGTTCTGCCGAATGACCTAAAGCATGAGCAAGTTTATTTCCATCTCGCTTCACATGAGAGAGAGAGAGAGAGAGAGAGAGAGAGAGAGAGATTGGAAACAATGCTTTAAATAAACAACATATACTCCTTCCTTAGAAGGAAGGAAAAACTATTATGCAATTAATTAACCCCTCAGTTTTGCCAGAAGAAGAAGTATCTCTTGATATTACCATAATTGAGTATCATCTTAGATCCTAAAATTCATCATTTTGGTGTTAAGAAGAGTATATCATGCAACGGAGACAATAATCCAAAAATCATGCCTACATTTTCAATAATTCTCAAGAATTTTTCGTAAATAGAAAGCTTAACTGCAATTATATGTTGTTTAATCTCCTGGACTCTACATGTCCTCTAATTAAAATCAAACCGAATCATAAACTTCTAAGAGTTTAGTCAAAAACATGTTTGAAAAATTGTTTTCCTTTTTATGTGATGAATTTTGGTATATAAAATGTTTGCATTTCTCAATGATTAAAATGGTGGTGGGCATAGTTAGATCATGCATGATTTAACACCATAAATTAATGTGACATTGCTGGCTAGGAGAGTTGGAAAATGTTATAAAAAAAAATGTAACTATATAAGAAAGAAGGAAATGTTCAATAAATGATAAATAAATAAATAATTCGTAAGAAGAGAGTAAATTAATGAATAACATACACAAAATATACAACATGAACCAACTAGCAAGTAAATTGTTATGATTACTATTGTCCTTTTATGATATATAATATCCTTCAATCAAAAATAAACTGAAGATTGCTTTTACTTCACATATTACTCAAAGGAAGTTTAATGAACAAAAAGTGCTCTCTCCACTCAAAAAAAAAAAAAAAAAAGGTGTCTGTAGGATAATTGCACACTTTTACTTTTTTGAAACAGCAATATGGAAGAATTATGCATTGAAATCCTTACACACAGAGAGAATAAGCAAGATGGCACTTTGCACACACACATTTGTGTGTGCGTGTTGTGCATGTTTATTTGCTTGATATCACCTTCACTGTTACTTATTGAACATTAACAAAAAAGAAATGGATAATATGCATCGAGAGAAGGGGTAAAGGGAGGACAACTTAAAATGACTATGCAAGACTTGCTATAAATATGAATTTCTACTGTAATAATCGGTACTATTAATTAGAAAGAACGGTGTCCATATTCTTTATCATTGATCTTCATGGCAACATAAAAAATGATTCATTCCAAAGTATGCATGATCTATGAGGTAAGATCTTAGCATAGATGTCTTCAAATGAAGAAAGAAAAAGCATATGATATGGAAACATATACATACTCTCTTTGTGATTCTTTTCACAAAAATAAAGCTAACATTGAATGATATTGTCACTTCAGCAAGCCAAAGCAATCTCTCTCTTTTTTTCTTTTTTTTTCTTGTTTTATGAATGAATGAAGTAAGGCTTTGATGAGCCAAAAAAAAAATCTAGAAAATATGAATTACAAGAATGAAAGAAATTAAAATATTAAATATTTCAATATGTTTTGTTTGTTTTGGCCAAGAATATTTCAATATGTTAGCCAATGCATGAAATTAATGACCTGCTGAGTCCACGAAACCATGCACAATGTTTTTTTTTAAAAAAAAGGATCTTCCACTTTTTGCTGGTAACAAAAACATTCTTGTTAACTTGAATGGTATAGTTATTATAGTTTCAAGTAAATTCTTGTTAACAAAAAAAAAAAAAAATTGAAATCCGTATCTTCCACTTTGCTGGTAACAAAGTAGGAGTTCTCCAATCTTAGTGATTATCATTCAGATTAAGGGATAACAAAATTAATCATCAATATAAAGCATAAGAATCCCGAAAAGAAAAAAGAAAGAAGAAATGAATTAGAAGAAGGAGAAGAAGCTATATCACAAAGAGTGAAGGAAGGAGCAGAAGAAGTTCTTGATAACCGACCTTGAAAATCCTCTCACTAGAATACAGTAGTACTCTTGCCAAGTAAGAACTCTCTGTTAGATCTGGTTGCTAATGAATCCAATCTCGAACCCACCAATCAGCTCAAAGAAAAGAGACACTTTAAGCTAGCTTTTGTCACTTCCTTTTACCGTTTTGTCAAGGCAACCGAACCAGACAAAAAAAAAAAAAGGCACAAAGAAAGGTAGAGAAGCACAAACGAACAAGAAAGAAGAATGCAATAAAAAAGTGATCCTCGGGAATTGAACTGAACCCCCAACCACTTGCACTCTCGATTGATGGAACGTCTAGTAATTGTCCAAACAGACTAAAAGAGAGGGGAATGATCAGATCCCAAGGTAAGGAAAAGAAAGGGGCTGCGAAAGAGAAAAGGAAGGGTACTTGAAGATTGGGGGAGAGAAAAGAGATAGGGTTAAATAAGAAGCAAGGAAATGAAAATGAGTAGAAGCACACACATGCCCTAATAATCTGTGTTTCGCTCTCTCTCTCTCTCTCTTCTATCGTTTAAGTGGGAGCTTGATTGCTGGAAAAGCTTTGCACGAAGAAAGGGGGCGTATAATGGCTCAAGCTATGCTTTTAGACAGAGATAGAGCGGTAACCTCTACCAGCAACTGATGGAGACTACAGAAGAGAATGTTCAGCTATTTAGGTTACAAAAGAGAGAGAGAAGATCGATGATGATGTGAAAATATCAAACGGTGAAGAT